GCAGTGCCTTCGCCGTCCGCGCCATCGCTGCCACCCAGGACATCACCAAGAGCTAGTGGTGTGGGCGTGGGCCCGAGCTACACAAGTCGTTCCGGAAGAAAGTGATTCCTCCCAAGAAGCTTTACTTGTGATATTCAGCTCTGTCTCTTGATATTTCGTTTTACTCAGTTCAACGTGTCTCTCTCTCTCTCTGTCTCTCCAAGTGTTGCTGGGTCTCAGGGGGGAGGTGTAGTGGGCGGAAGCTGTGTATGTATTAAATCCTTTAGGGAAGTAGTGTTCTCTTCTGTTCCCGTCTTTTCGGCTGGTCACTTTGCCGCTGCCGTCGGTCCGTGATTCGTTACGCCTTATTTGCGGACAAACAACTTCCTGACATGATCAATCATGCAATTCCGACTGCAGCGACGCCTTTCGTAGCGCACGTCGCCGATAGTCGATGAAAGGATCAGCACGACAGGGCTTCTCTTGCGAGTGCTCGGCGACCAGTACACGCTCGTCTCCATCCGACGTGCTTTCGCTGTTGCTGCCAGCTCGAGGCTCATGAGACGCCGAAGCGTTAAGGAGGTCCTCTCTGCCGTTCTCATCCTGTCTGTCACTCTAGGCATTTTAAAGCATGGAATGCTTTTCATGCGTTAGCATGCACTGGTAGATGCGTTGACCTTGGACGGGCTTGAAGCGCATGTCATAGAGTAATATAGTAAACGTAAAGAGAGGACACAGGAGCCGATTCGCGGCCCAGATAGTGCGTTTCATACCCTCCGCTACGTGGCGCTTTTCTGCAATTTGGTTAAAATTAATTAAAACTCTTTCTGTGAAAAGTATTTATTTTTTAATTGGCAATGCTTTAAAATTGTTTAAAGTACTTACAACGGCTAAATAGTTTAAATCAAATGCGTCACAAAAAGCACGTGATGAATGGCGCCTGCCATGGCCTGCCTGCCTGCACGCCGTCGCTTCTGCATCATTCTGCATGGCCTTTGCTCGTCCCTGCGTCGTTCGTCTGTGCTTTCTGCTGCATCATGTTCGGTCGACTTTGCATCAATCAAGGTGACGCATGACCGCCCGCGTGCTCGCATGCTCGGCGTGAATTCGTGCAGCCGATCGGTTCGAGCTTCTCGTGCTGTTGTTTCTGCCGGGCTGTCTGGCTGCTCTTGAATTTGTGTGCATGTTGATTTCCGATGAGATTGTTTTAAAAAAGAATTTAACTTACGACCCAGCACACGACATTGTCCATGGGTTTACAGATAACGGTGTTGAACGAACCTCTAACATTGCAGATAGAGCCTTGGTTGTTATGCTGTCTGAAATTTCCAGGAGGTGCGTTTAGCCCCTTGCATACACTGTTGTGCACACTCCAACAACGTCTTCTGTTTAACGCAGTCTCCTCATTTCTCTCATTCGGGAGCTTAAAGGGGCGGTGCAACGATATTCAATGGGAATGGTCTTCACTTTACACAAGCTTACTGGCACTAGTGGGACTCAAGGATATTCGCACGCAACGCCACTGACCAAGAAACTCCTTTGTTGCGCTGTAAGTTCGAGGACAAAACCGAGTGTTTTCATTCAATCTCTCCTTCGAAAAACCTGATGACGTAGCTGGGCGGTAGCAGTACCGCCCAGTGACGATATTTGAATACGGCTCATAGACTGGACCCGAGCATGGCGTGGACACTCGATTTGGGCTCGTGATAATCAATAGCTCGAGAAACATTCGGGTAGTGTCCTGTGTCCAATCGCTGCAATGACGACAACAGCCGAACCATAACAATGTCTTGAACTCAGCGTGTGTCCTGTGCCTTGCCAACCCCAGCGCATGGCTATGATCAACATTGGCGGCATATAATCGGCTCCAGATCACGGGGCCGCTTGTTATGGCTTCGAGTTGAGGGGTGAACTCTGCTCGTTTTTCTTTATTTTTTTCTGCGACTTCGATTGCGTGTGGTAAAAACGAACGGGTATTTCACAGATCATTAACGTCAGGGATTCGTTCTGAGCGGTATTTGCGCAAAATAAAAATATCAGTGCATCGCCCCTTTAAGACTGTTGGCTTTACAGTAAAGGCTGTGTGGTCTGTGGTTAGGGGGCTTCAAACATCAGCTTGGTGTGTGTGGTGATAAGCCATTTCTTGAAGTTGGCAACGAACACGTTTAATTTGTCTTTGATGTTCCCCACCTTCCCAAAACAACCAAGAGCAATCTCCAAGCCACAAACTTTGCATTTGAAATGAGGTCATTGAGTGGTCTTCTATTGTTGAACTTTATTGTTCTATCCAGGAGATGAGCTTGCAATTGGCTCCGAAACTTACTGAGAGAAACATTTTTTCAAGAACCTTTCTGTAACATGGAAGAAAATTGTGCCCCACAGGTCTACTCTTTCTTGCAATCATATCCCTTGTTTATGCCAAGCAACTTCCTGAGGCAGCCATGGCTACAGCCTTGTTCTGTGATAGGATGTGCATACTTTTTGACTGTCTAAATAGCTAAAAAATTCAAGAAGACAGGGCAGAATTTGCGTCATGCCAATCTGAAGGGAGAATCTGAAATACTTGATTTTTTCCACCAGTAACTCGGATGGATTTCAGCATGGCAGTTGCAAAGTAGGAGGCAGCCATAAGCCATCATTGGGTGGCAAGTTACTATAAAAAGTTTCCTCATGCTCTGTGATGAGCTTTCAAGCAGCCATGACTTGAAGTTCTTACTTACACGACGCCTGCAGCAAGACACACTTGAGAACGTTTTTGGAGCTATATACGACAAATGCTGGGCTGCAACACAAACCCAAATGTGGATCAGTTCACCTCAGGACTAAAACACCTCTGGATAAAGAAACTGTTCAAACTGTCGGACAATGAAAACGTAGAGGATCACAAGGCTGACCTCCTAAAGGAGTTGCAAATATCTTCGCACCATGAAAGTTTAATTTCAGACATTGTGGAATGTCTTCCAATTGATAAATTCCCGCCACTAGAGGATATTTCTGAGCTGGCATCAGACATCAGGTCTAACATAATTGATGACTCGTCCACTTTTTTTATTATGTTTGGGGCTATTTGATCAAGCTTTTGCTTGAGCAGACAACTTACACCTGTGGCTGTTCTCAGCTGCTATCGGATGAGTCTAATAACTTGACCAGGCCTCACGAGTACTGTCTTGTTCCTAAAGCATACCACGTGCCTGGAAAATTCTTCGGGAACTTAGTAGTACCATCACAGGCTGCCTTTCATTTTATTCAGCAACTAGAAAATCACTTTCTTCCCATAATAGAGAGTGTGACATATGTTCGAGGAGTCTGTGCCGCCTTGTATAGCACACTTTGAGGTCTGGGTGGTTTTAGCCTTTGCCCAGAGGAGTAACACAAAGGGTTTTTTAAAGTTGTTTTGCAGAATACGCTTGTGTTGACATGTTTGATTTCTTAACCGGAATTCGGACAAAGTTTGGTTGCACTCTTCAGTGGTTAATAAGAACGAGACAGGTTTAACTGTTAATAGTGTATTAACAGAGGCGGTTGCCAAACCAAAAACAAAAAGTGCTTATTAAGTGGGCGGTGCAGCTTGCTCTCCAAATATTTGTTTCCCCTTTTTCCAGCGAATGTGTATCACGGCTCCCTAACAAAAATATTTGTCCACTTTCTACAAAATTTTGATAGAAAATAGTGTATAGAGGCTAAAAATATTTGAAAGAAAATGTATCCACTTTTGTATCCACTGTCCATAGTTTTTTAGCCGCTTTTTTCTGAAGCCATATTTCTTTTCTGAACAATTTCGGGCAATGTCTAGGGACGTTGAATCTTGACAGATTTCGAATAGAGTTCTCATTGTTTGGTAATGGCTCGCCCGCAGTGAGTTTGAGGCTATGCAAATTGGTGTTTTTTTATATTTGCCGGAAATCGGGAATTTTTACTATCCGGCGTGTGCTTCGCACTGTTATTATACTCTTATGACCGGTAATGATAATGATGTCTTATTTATTTTTGCACTTACTTCCCGTACCCGAGTCGGCGTGAAAGTGAATGTATCATACAGCATGTTCTCCGTGGAAAGGTTTTGTTAACTTGGTTCCGCTAAGAATCTATTACGAAGTGTACGATATGCCGAAGTCCTTCATATTCATTTATTTTTGTGAGTATCGATCTCTTTCGTATAAAACATACAGAGCTTCTGAAGTAAATCATGTATACATGAATGTGGTCCAATAAAATGTGTTCGAACCACTTACTGTTGTTGACCCCAAAATGCTCCACCAGCCAGGAGTCAGTGCGGCGATTGTGTAACTTCAATGTTTTACAATAGAAAAAGAACAAGAAATATATATACGTATGCTTTGAGAAATAAGTTGAAATATTGTTTGATACGTTTTGCACGGACTCTATCGTAAAAAATAAAGCAAAAGTGCGTCAATATTAAAAAAAAAAACAAAAAAAAAAAAACAGCGGTTTTGGGAGTCAAGGAGCTCCCGAGAGCAGAGCGAGGCGGGGAGGAAAGAGAGAGAGAAGGGTACCGGAGAACCGGGGCAGAAACGCCCAAACCGAAACCGAAACTAACTTGACCGGAAACGGAATCAGATTACACTTAATACCGCCCGCTAGGAGCGCTACCTGTCACTGGTCTATCTGGGCCGCTGGGGCCTATGGCAGTGTCCGCTCTTTACCTTGTGTATATTACTCTATGCGCATGTATTCATGTTCGCAACATCGCCACAGGGTGGCGCCACAGCCCCACTGGCTGTGAAAACTGCCTACACTGTAAAAAATGTACGTAAAATATACGTGCATTTTCCCAATCAAAAAATACGACGCGCCCTCGTATTTTTAAAAGACGAGTTTTGATCGTTTCTCGAAGTGCGCGGGGCGAAAAGCGCGCGCGGCGAGCCGAGAGCCAGCGGAGCATGCCAGGCGCGAGGACGCCGAGCATGCGCAGAGAAGGGCGAACCCGACCCGTGCTCGACGCCACCACCACCTCCGACGCCCGGAGGCCCCCCTCTCCCTTTCCGGCGCATCATCGCGTTTGTTCATGTACCGCCGCGTGTAGGACGTACTAACGAACTTTCTCTTTACGTTCTCGCGGCTGTCACAACCTCGTGGTTTTTGGCGTTGCCTTATAAGCCGTTCCCTCCATTCGTTCCTTGCGGGAAGCGACGTCTAAAGGTATGCACCACTCCAGCAAACTTTCTATGTAATATCGGAGACAATATGAGCGTGAACGCGCCTCCACTTGTCACTGCGGAAGCGCGTTCACGCTCATATTGTTTCCGATAACACTTGACCCTTTCGCACAGCAATCGAAGCCTCGTGGTTTTTGGCGTGGCCTGTTCGGCTCTATCGCGCCGTTCCCTCCGTTCGTTCCTGGCGGAGCGACGTCCAAAGGTATGTGAACACTACTTTATTGCTTCAAAGAAACATCGAAAGGCATAAAAAGAAGGATGGAGCTTTTTGAAATCTGTACTCCAAAGAACATGTTGGATACGCTACAAAGTGCTACTGGTCCCCGCTCTGCATTGCCGTCGGTAGTGTCTGCGGTGCTGCATGAGGACCGAGTGTGAGTGCGTCCTTTAGAATAACTCTTGTATTTAAAATCCAATACATTTGGCGTGTCTTTAAAAGTTCGAATTCCAAACGTGCTTACCTGAAACTGGTCATACAAACATTTTTGAGTCTAGAGTATTATGTTTTTTTCTCTTATTCGTCAATTCTGAAGCCGTGAAATCTTAAAAACAACAAGAACGGCTACCGTGCATATTTTCGTTGCCGTCGGCTCCGGTAATGTAGTACTGAATGCAAAAAAGAAGCCTCCTCTATCCTACAAGAGGCTGGTGTCCAGCAAAATAATCGCGTTAAATAATGATTTGAACGAGGCGTTTGAAAAATTGTGCATTTCTCGAAGAGTAAAGCTATACGCACTCCGGAGTGCGCTTCGCGCGGAAATGGCTATACGCACTCCTCCGAGAGATCATGCCGCTCGGGCCACCCTTTTCGAACGGCGCGTGAATCACTGGGGCGCTCGTTAACACAGCCCCCCGCCTGCGTTCACGCCGCTTCGCGGCGACAGTATCGGCTGCTAATTACAAAGCGTAACCAGTACACGCCGCTTCGCGGCGTCCAGCCGGCAATCCAAGCCCCGCTGTCCCCGATCGCACCTCCGGAAAGGGAGTCCGATACCATTTAGTTCTGCGGAGTTTCTCGACAACATTCGATTTCTTTTTATTTTACTGTTCATCGCAAAAAAGGAAATGTCGTAAATATCGCCAAATGCCTCGACAAAACAAAATGTTTGAGAAAAAAAAAAAACGTAGGCCCACCGCGGATCGAACCCGCGACCACTTGCGTATGAAGCGGACACCCTAACCCCTACGCCATCGCACCGCTTAGGAAACTCGTTGTGTCCACTCTTTTTATACGAGAAAAGCGGAGTGCGTATAGCCATTTCCGTCCGAAGCGCACTCCGGAGTGCGTATAGCTTTACTCTTCCTCGAAACAATCAGTGCCTTCTTTTTGCAAATCTGGATAGCTCGCCGAGTGAATTCCTGTGCCCCTTGTAAATCGCGAGCGATCTGTGTGTTGCGCTTGTAGATCGGGAGACGAACTGATGTGCCCAAGGAGGTGGAGCGCGTAGAGCATTTGGAAGAAATTCGCTGCGTAGTGGTTCCGCATAGGTAATATACATACGGTTGACGTATGTTTATTCACTCGCGACATTTCGGTTTCGATGTTTATGCCGCCGTGTTCGTCACAGCCGCGACAGCGACCGTATCCATTTCGCTAGCAGTACTGTTGATGTCATGTTATCAGGTGGGGTGCATTTATATTACACGAGCCATACGAACGTGCTCACGGTGCCCACCGTGCCACCCAAGTTTGGTGCCGACGCTCTCGCCTAATAATCGAAGTTGAAATCGGAATCCACTAATAGGTACTTGGGAGGGTACGAGTTTCGTCATTATTCCGTGGGTAGGGTAACAATTCGTTTATTAGCTAAGGCAGCAGAACCGTAAGTTATGTACCGTATGTCGGATCACGACGCGACGTCATCGCCCGAGATGGTTTCCGTGCAGCCCGTGAAGCATCGCCGGAGAGCTCGGCAGTGGCAGCGGCTGCCAGAGGACAGAGCAAACTCGTTTGCTGCAGCATGTGCCGCTGAGCTCGCTCGCGGAGGCTGGGCGCTCGAAGCTGCGATTCTGCGAGCGCTCTCGGTTCGCAAGGGGAAGGGGCTATAAAGCGGACGAACGGTTATTTTTCCCATTTCGTTCTGCGGACGCCCAAACGGATAAGCAAGACGAAAAAAAAACAAAAAAACAAAACAAAACAGGTGCAACCTTTTTTTGTGTGTGTAATGTAGATCTTTCATAAATAAACGTTTCTTCATTTTAAAATATTTGTTAATCTGGGTAATCGGTAATTTAATTTGTAAAAATAAATCTTTATCGCAATTATATCGTTCATTGCCAGCTGCAAATTTTGCCAGCGTGCCAAACGTGCCGGCTTTTACGGTCGCACCGAGTACATTTATGCAGACGGTAAATTCGAAAAGGTTTCCGTTACCTGGTCCATGCAAATTCAAGCGTGTACATAGTATTAATTTGTTTTTCGTAACTTTTTTTTTCCCCCCAAACATATATCACTGTTTTGTGTGGCTATGTGACCCTGTGTTATGTTGTGGCGGAAAGTGAGTCATGTAGTATAACTGACATCAGCAACATCTCAAATTATGTTTACACCACATGACTAACTCTATCAATGAGTGTGTTGGTATAATTAGGCCAAACATCAAAAGGCGAAACGGAAGTGTGCAGCTCTCCGGAATCAGACAGTGCGTATTTTCTGGTCTATAGTCCGCAGACTATGCATGTATAAAAGTTGTTTTTTTTGTGTTGTGCAGACTATCTACAGATATGGGTTACACTATGCAATAATTTTTGTTTCTAGATCCTTCGTTAGCACCAGACTGGTCTGATTGGCTTGCAGATTTTAGAATGTTTTGTGCCGGGATTAAGAAGTGAACGTCACACTTCCAATCTGTTGCTCAGGCTTTCTATGCCTTGCGTGTGACACACTGCTCGCTTGGATGCCTGCAAGCGGTCAATGTGGGTCAAGCTGAGAGCTCTGTGGTTCACCCAGGAGAGGTGCACAAGAAACTCCAGACTTTCGTCCGCAAATATCTTTTGTGCGAGAGGTGCGGGCTGACAGACTATGGATGTTAGCTTTTCAGCCTACGTTTTGCCCTGCGGACTATGCATTGAGCGCCAACTATCCAAACGAAAACTTATTTTTTAGGCAAAATTGGCTCCTAGCGTCTTTTGACCGGAAAATACAGTACTTTAAAGCACTTGTTGCTTACGCTAGAAAGTTAAACGAACCCTGCCGTCAGTGTTCACTGTCTTCGGAGCCATAACTTCACTGTCAATCATGTTCGGGAACCGACAGTTGGAACTCAGTCATTAAATTCAGCATAACATGCTGATGGTAATTTAACAAAAAGGGCTTTTGCACCGTCCTCCGTGGAAATTATTTTGCGCGCCTAATTTTTCTGTTTCCCCAGACCTACAGAAGGGCTCTTTATGTCCCTCTGTCCGGTGGTGGTTGCAAGCGAGGCCTGCACCGTTATTGCCATCACCATAGTCTGAAGGTTGTATACACCACTTGACTACTTCCATAGAGGAGTGTGCTCAAACATTAAAGGGCCAAATGCCAGCGTGCTGCTCATTTAAATTGGGCAACACTCCAAACCATGTGTTTTATAGGCAAAAAAGTTTTGCACTTGAGCGGTCTGCGGTGGTGGTATTTCACTCTCTGTGGAGTTGTAACTTTCTTGTGAATCATGCTAGAGCAGCGCAATTCGAAGCCAAGCAACCATAACATGCGGATGGCTAATTCACATACTCTCTCCTCTGTGGTAATTACTGCAGGCGTCTAATGTTTTCTTTTTTACCCACACCTACAGCAGGGCTCTGCCTGGCTCTGCGTCCCTCTGTCCACTGGTGGTCGCAATCGAGGCCTGCACCGTAATTGCCATCACCATAGTCTGAAGGTAGGTATGCACCACTTGACTACTTCCACAGAGGAGTGTGCTCAAACATCAAAGGGCCAAATGTCGGCGTGCTGCTCTTTTAAATTGGGCAACACTCCAAACCATGTGTTTTATAGGCAAAAAAGAAGTTTTGCACTTCAGCGGTCTGCGGTGGTGGTATTTCACTCTCTGCGGAGTTCTAACTTTCTTGTGAATCATGCTAGAGCAGCGCAATTTGAAGCCAAATCAATAGCAACCATAACATGCATATGGCTAATTCACATACTCTCTCCTCTGTGGTAATTACTGCAGGCGTCTAATGTTTCTCTTTTTTACCCAGACCTACAGCAGGGCTCTGCCTGGCTCTGCGTCCCTCTGTCCAGTGGTGGTTGCAAGCGAGGCCTCCACCGTAATTGCCATCACCATAGTCTGAAGGTACGTATACACCACTTGGCTACTTCCACAGAGGAGTGTGCTCAAACATCAAAGGGCCATATGTCGGCGTGCTGCTCTTTTAGATTGGGCAACACGCCAAACCATGTGTTTTATAGGCAAAAACGTTTTGCACTTCAGCGGTCTGCGGTGGTGGTATTTCACTCTCTGCGGAGTTGTAACTTTCTTGTGAATCATGCTAGAGCAGCGCAATTTGAAGCCAAATCAATAGCAACCATAACATGCGGATGGCTAATTCACATACTCTCTCCTCTGTGGTAATTACTGCAGGCGACTAATGTTTCTATTTTTTACCCAGACCTACAGCAGGGCTCTGCCTGGCGCTGCGTCCCTCTGTCCAGTGGTGGTTGCAAGCGAGGCCTGCACCGTAATTGCCATCACCATAGTCTGAAAGTATGTATACACCACTTGACTACTTCCACAGAGGAGTGTGCTCAAACATCAAAGGGCCAAATGTCGGCGTGCTGCTCTTTTAAATTGGGCAACACTCCAAACCATGTGTTTTATAGGCAAAAAAGAAGTTTTGCACTTGAGCGGTCTGCGGTGGTGGTATTTCACTCTCTGCGGAGTTGTAACTTTCTTGTGAATCATGCTAGAGCAGCGCAATTTGAAGCCAAATCAATAGCAACCATAACATGCGGATGGCTAATCCACATACTCTCTCCTCTGTGGTAATTACTGCAGGCGTCTAATGTTTCTCTTTTTTACCCAGACCTACAGCAGGGCTCTGCCTGGCTCTGCGTCCCTCTGTCCAGTGGTGGTTGCAAGCGAGGCCTGCACCATAATTGCCATCACCATAGTCTGAAGGTACGTATACACCACTTGGCTACTTCCACAGAGGAGTGTGCTCAAACATCAAGGGGCCATATGTCGGCGTGCTGCTCTTTTAAATTGGGCAACACTCCAAACCATGTGTTTTATAGGCAAAAAAGAAGTTTTGCACTTCAGCAGTCTGCGGTGGTGGTATTTCACTCTCTGCGGAGTTGTAACTTTCTTGTGAATCATGATAGAGCAGTGCAATTTGAAGCCAAATCAATAGCAACCATAACATGCGGATGGCTAATTCATATACTCTCCTCTGTGGTAATTACTGCAGGTGTCTAATGTTTATCTTTTTTACTCAGACATTTGTAGTTAATTTGTGGAATTGAAACAAGCCCACAGACATCAAAATAGCTTGTACAGTAGGACACCTATTCTACAATTTAAATGTAAGACAGATTCGACAAACATTTTGCTTTTTTTTGGATCGTTGACTAACGGAAAGCTGGGTCAATTAAACCAGGATGTCGAATGAACACATTTAACGCACACTTTCAGTATAGGACATTTGATACTTCATGAAGGTGAGCTATGTTGTTCTTTAAGTGTCTGTGCCTTATTCGTGACAGACATTATTCGCTGCACTAGATTTATCTTCTGAAATGTCAGTAGGTTTCCAAGTAAATCTGCATTTTCTCTGGCAATTGCAGGTTTTCTGCACGTAAAGCGCAAGATGGAGCATGGACAAGTTTTTTTTGTTTTTTTAATCGTCCAAGGCATGGAGTTTTACTGAAGTTGAGCTATGGTCCCGTTACAAGTGGTCTGTGTTTTATTCATCATAGATATTATTAGCCGCATAGGGTTTTATATTGCTCGTCTTTGAAATATCAATTGGTTTTCAACTAAAACTGCATTTTCCTGTTAAGCGCAGGTTTCTTCAGATGAAAGCGTAGACTGGGGTCCGAACAAGGTGTTCTTTTTTTAACTGGCCCAGGCACATTGTTTTATTGAAGGTGAGCTATGGTCTCCTACCCGCCTTACTTGTCACAGACATTATTTGCTGCCCTAGATTTTTCTTCTCTTTTGAAATGTCAGTTGGTTTTCAACTAAATATGCATTTTCCTGTTAAGCGCAGGTTTCTTCAGATGAAAGCGTAGACTGGGGTCCGAACAAGGTGTTCTTTTTTTAACTGGCCCAGGCACATTGTTTTATTGAAGGTGAGCTATGGTCTCCTACCCGCCTTACTTGTCACAGACATTATTTGCTGCCCTAGATTTTTCTTCTCTTTTGAAATGTCAGTTGGTTTTCAACTAAAACTGCATTTTCCTGTTAAGCGCAGGTTTCTTCAGATGAAAGCGTAGACTGGGGTCCGAACAAGGTGTTCTTTTTTTAACCGGCCCAGGCACATTGTTTTATTGAAGGTGAGCTATGGTCTCCTACCCGCCTTACTTGTCACAGACATTATTTGCTGCCCTAGATTTTTCTTCTCTTTTGAAATGTCAGTTGGTTTTCAACTAAATATGCATTTTCCCTGGCAATTGCAGGTTTTCTGCATGTAAAGTGCAAGATGGAGCATAGACAAGTTTTTGTTTCATTAATTGCCTGAGGCCCAAAGCACGGTGTTTTACTGGAAGTGAGCTGTGGTCTGTGTCCTATTTGTCACGGACATTACTTGCTGTGTCAGATATTTCATGCCTCTCTCCTGCAATGTCAATTGGTTTTCAACTAAAACTACATTTTCTGTGATTAGCGCAGGTCTCCTCGGAGGAAAACATTAGGCGCCGAGATGTGCTGGCCTTCCCTTATGGTCCAGACCAGTTGTTTTCATCAAGGTGAGCTGGTCTCTCTTTGCAAATCGAGCAGGATTATTTGTATTGTGTGCATGTCAGGCTCACCTTGTTGTGTATTGTTTCGACAGCCTTGTGCTTAGCTTATGACTATATACATCTTTCTTTTGCATATGCAGGGAGCATTGAGATAGCCCTACACCTCGGAAGAAGTACCCATAAACGAATTTTAGATATAATAAAGAGCTATTACAATTTCCCTCGTTTTTTGGTGTTGAAAATAAGCTCGAAGAAAACAGCTACAAAGAGCTAAAGAAAAATAATTTACAAACGACCGACCAAACTATTTTGCATTTTCACTGCTGTCTCAATTCTGAACCCTTTCTCAAGGGTGTTTATGTTGCGAGAATTTGCTGCCGATATGATGCCTTAATATGATCCGGCCAGCTCGAGCTGCACTTTCAAAAACCTCCAGGTCGCTCTGGTCTGTTGCAACTCTAGAACAGCAAGAGCAAGCCCCTCCCACAGAGCCCGCCACTCTTTCAACATCAGCAGAGCGGAGGCTGGAGAGCAGGGGAGTGGGGAGGAGAAAACAACCAATCATGGTGCAATGGTGGTTTCCTTCTCTCCACTTACCTATTATTCTTGGCTTGCAACAGATTTTAGCAGCTCGCAGCTGTGTCTGCAGGTGCATCACATGAGAAACACTGTAGCTAGCTGCTGTTTTGCTGCACCCTATCTCACCTATTTTGAAGTTAAAGTTTCTGTGCCAATTATTTTCTCTTCATTTTAGACAAAGCAGCAGAGCTGCTCCAAAGTGCATGAATTCACTATTGCATTGCATTGCAATCCCCATAGTATATGGTTCACGTTTTCAGGTGCATCAATGACCCTGAAGTTATATTTCAGAATATCGTTGCACAGAAACTTGTGTAAGTGAAAAATATTGGACAGCAGAACATGAGCTACTTCAGTGCCTCAGCTAAAAAGAGATGTAGAAACAAATATTTTGTAAAAAAGAAATGATGAAATGCTTGGCAGCTCTATTAAGAGGGGTTGCCCATTAAAATGCTAATGTGCCCCCATATTGTGAAAATATGTGAAAAAAGATGTCGTCAATGCAACGGTACCCATTTTACCAAAGTGCAAGGTTGCTTGTTAAAATTATGTGCATGCATAATTTTAAAGGGCACCCTTATACTTTGGAAGAATGAGTATTGTCATATTAACGACTTTTTCCACATTTTTTCAGAATATGGGGGCACGTTAGATTAATGTTATAATACCCATTTTTTCAGAGTATAAGGATGCTCATTAAAATGATGTGCACACATAAGTTTAACGAGCATCCTCGTATTTTGAAAAAATGGGTATCGTTGCATTAGCGTCCCTTTTCACATATTTTCTGAATATGGGGGTGCGTTATTTTAACGGGCATCCCCTCTTAATAGAGCTGCCAAGCATTTTCTCGTTTTTTCTACGAAAGATTTTTTACAGTGTAGGAAACACATTCCGCAAGCGCGGAGAGATGGCGGTGGTGTCCATCTTTCTTGAGCATGGCGATAGGACGCATAGCAACGTAGGCCGCAATGAATTGAGTGGTTATAGGGAGCGACGCCGTGACGAAACACCTAGCAACCGAAGACCGCCGGCGATGTCCCCGCTCGCCAATTTTGGAGCCTCGCAGGGGGATGACGGATGTACCCATGGGGCCCGTCTCAATCCTTCCCTCCCCCCCGTTCACGCCGCAGGCGATAGTCTGCGGATGGCTCATTACAAACCAAATTAAGCGACCTCAAGCCACCCGCACACGCCATCTTAATGCACCCCGCCTTCGGTCCATGTATGTCTTAACCACACTGACCCACACTACACCTCGGTTGCTAGGTGTTACCGTCACGCGGCCGGCGTGCGAGTACGCGTTTTGGAAGCCCTCGGAAGTTCCAGCCGCCGGATTTGCAGACGTGGACGGACACGAGCTGCGGTTCCGTTTTTCGGCCTGCCGCGCCGTTCTTCACGCGCAGTCGTCTTACCATGTCACAGTGCGCTTACCATGTAAGCGCACGGTGTCGTCGCTCCTGTATGCACAACATGTATGCACAACAACGAAATGGCATTTTCGTTTTTTGCGAATTGCGCGCAGGTCCTGCATGCACGCGCTAAGTGACCTGTTCTGCTTGCAGCAGGGCAAAAATTGGTTTCGGGAATGTTCACCGCTCGAAAAAGTGGTGAAAGGCTGTGTTCATCATGCTTTGTTACAACCACTGCACGAAATGTTCACGCATTTCTTCGAGAATCAACGCGGCGGCTGCAGCGATTTCGGCCATTTTTTTTTTAAAGCTACCACCAATCTCAACATTTATACGTCCCTCTGTTCGTCCGCCCGTGCATTTCCCGCTAAATTTAGCTGGGAAACTAAAGTTATGTTTAGGCAACGGGACGTGAATAGAAGTCACGTGATTGTGTTAAGCTTTCCCGCCAAAGTCGGCGAGCAAATTGATGTCACGTTACCCGACGTCACGTGACCTATACGAAAATTCAATTCCCTCGCTATAAGTGACGGGAAAAATGACACGACGTAGTCAGAAGTTCCGTGACCTATACAACAGTTCATTTTCCCCGCTGAATTTAGCTTGAAACTTGATGTCGATCCATACTATGTCACGTGACCGATACACCAATTCAGTTTCCGCGCTAACATGGCTGGCAAAATCGATATCACGTGACCTCAGCGCCTTCAGTTTCCCGCTAAATTTAGCGAAAAAAATTGACACCACCTGACCTGACGACCCGTCACCTATACACAAGTTTAGTTTTCCCGCTAAGTTCAGCGGGGAATTCGGCACTACGTGATCTATGCACCCTGTTCCCCCGCTTAAAGGGCAACTCCGCTCAATTCCGAAAAAATTTAGGCTTCCATGGGAATCACATTCACAAAGCACTACTAAACAACTCTACGTCTTCGGAATCGCGAAATGTGGAATATTATTTGTGTAATCCTAATTTAAACATAAGCAGATACCGAAACCGAAACTTCGGTTGCGCCAGGCAACATTGGTCTCGGGTCGTCAGAGTCATGGCCTCGTCACGTCGAACCACGTGGTCTTGTGACGTTCGGGAGGGAGCGAGAAACAGGACACGCGACGCGGGCAGGTCTTTTTTTTAATTTCTATTGGACGCGGGCAGGTCGCTTCGCATGGAGTGGACGGTGATGGTCCGGGGGAGAGGGGGAAGAGGAGAAGACAAAAGAGGAGAAGGGGAGTGGAGAAACAGACAGAAATGCGCGCAGGGCAGCGCAAACTAGCGTATCCGTGTTACGGTGATCACGTGCTACGGTGATCACGTGAACGCCCGGTCAGCCAACACCGGGAGGAGAAACTCATGACGTCATCGTTCAATTTCGCTCTGAGAAGTAAAAACAAGCAAAACGTGAGAATGACGTAGTCATGCCTCTGACGTAGTGGTTCAACGTTGGCCGCTCCAACTCCGTCGCATTGACTGCGCTGATGATTGCGCCTTGCGCCGCATGCTAGAGTTGGCAGATTTCGGCGACTTGGCTCACTTGAAGGTTTGCTGGCTAGCTTATTAAATACATAAACGGAATTAGATCATAATATTTGACATGGGGTCTTCCTATATGATACTGAAGAGGGCTACATAGTTTTCTAAATATGAAAAATGAAGCGGAGTTGCTCTTTAATGTAAGGGAATACTTTTGAATATTTATAAAAAATCGTACCCTGCAGATAAGGGTGGTGTACCTTTATCTGTTCTTCCTACGCAGTTTCTTTCTATGCGAACTCTCTTCCCTTTAAGATCTGTATGAATAGAACCCCATTTTTCTTGTAACCCTATTCCTGACGAAGACCTGTCTCAGGTCGAAACGTGGAATAAAATTCTCCTGGTTTGTTTTCTACCGTCACCATGCATCTCTCTGTCTCTCCCGCTCTCTCTGTATATATATATATATATATATATATATATATATATATATATATATATATATATATATATATATATATATATATATATATATATATATATATATATTGTTAGCAAGGTGAAGACGACGACGAGGCAGTGGCGCGCACGACCATCTCGCGCCAGGCCCCACGGGCCGGCTTGGCCTCCATAAATCGTATGCTTGTTCTATCCTAGTTCTATCATCGTGTACTGTCCTGTCCCTTCTGCTGCCGACAGCATCACCCTAACAATATATATATATATATCAGGGTGTCGAACCGAACCAGAACCCGAAGCGAAAACCGGATAAAAACCGTAATTTTTTACCGAACCGGAACAAAACCGAAACCGAAATCGAACACTTCAT